GGCCCCCGCCGCGCCCCAGCCGGGCCAGCCGGGGTCGGATGTGCTTAGTGACGGATGTCAGAGGCAGAAATGAAGGCGTGAGGGTGTGTCTCGGTTTCCGACACCTAACGGCAGGATGTGTGCGCTTCCCTCTGAGGTTCTAGGGGGACAGAAAGCGGTGCGTCGTGGAGAGAGCGCGACGCGGCATGCTGCCATGGAGCAAGCACAGACACGGCCGGGAACTCGACAGAAGATGCACATGACGCGGACGCACCCGCTGTCCACACACCACGTCCGGGAGGCCGCCCCGGTGGCTTTACCTTTAGCGGAACCAAGGTCCTGAGACGGCCACGCTTCCGGGAAATCCCAGCCTAGAGACCCAGAGATGGGACGCGGGGGGGCGAGGGTGACACTGTCGGCGACGGGACACGTCAGCTATCGGTCGCCACTGAGTTCCCACAAGGACAGGCGAGCTGGTCCCCTCCGAGCCAACACCAGAGTCCTGACGCCGAGGAGAGGAGAGGCCTTCCGGTCCGACGGGTCCCCCGCAGGGGAGGTCCCGGTGCCAGCGTGGGGTCCGCCTGCGTGTCGGACGGCAGGGGGCGAGCCCACCTCGTCCGGGACACTGTCCAGCCACGGACACCCCATCGCCGAGAAGGCCGCGCGCCTTTGCCCAGTCCATGGGCAGAGTGGCCGGAGCGGGGAGGTCGGGGCGGCGGGGGGGGTGAGTCCTCTGACACCAGCAACATCGCTGTCCGGGTTTCTGACGACTGAGAGTTTGTCTTTCGGTTTTTTTTTAAAACCAAAACAGCTGTAACTTAGGGGAACAAGAGACACAGTTTGGGGTGACAGTAGGGGTCCCGCCCTCATTCTCAAGGCATGATATTCAGACAACGCTCGTCCCTTGCATTTAAAAAACACGCACCGTGACTTTCTCGCATGTGCATCCTGCGTGGAGTTTGTCCAGAGCTGCAAACAGGTAGGTCACATGTACGTGTGTGTGTTTGGCAACCCACGGGGGTGCGTACACCCGCGTGTAGAAACATATACACATACATCCTCATAGACACGTGTGTCTTATATATATGCTGAGAAAGGTCACATATATATACAACTGCGTATGTTATCTGTGTGCGTGTGTGTGTCTGTGTGTGTGTGTGTGTGTGTGTGTGAGTGTGTGCTTGTGAGCAGGTAGAAAAACTCGACAGGCAGAGGAATATTCCACTCAGTGTTGTTAGGTGACGTCTTTGAGGAAAAGAAAAGCGAAACTCGGGTACCGCCGGCCGCTCAGTTGACGTAGTAGAGCCAGTAGACCAGGTTGAAGAGCGAGAAGGTGAAGGGGAACACGATGCGGGACCACCGGTCGATGGCGTTCACGTCGGTCAGGTCGGGGATCTTGATCTTGAGCTGCGAGGACCGCCGGCGCAGGTGCGTCTTCTTGTGGGTCAGGCCCCGGTCCCCCAGGTGCCGCCCGGGCCCCTCCCGGGCCGCGCTCTGCTTCCGGTACTGGATCCCTGAGTTGTCGAAGGAGATGGCGGAGTTCCGGGTGTCCCCGAGGCCGCCCGCCACCTCGTTCATCTCATTGTGCACCTCCAGGGACGTCAGCAGGATATTCCCGTGGGCGTCCACCTAAGGGGGGACATGCGCATGGTCAGGCAGGAGGCCGGCCGGCCGGCGGGGAAAGCTCGTTTCCCAAGGCAAACCCTGACCCACGTGTCCTGCAGCCTCGGCCTGTGGATGACGGAACCCGCACACGTGTCAAAGCCGAGCTCTGTGTTGGTGGGAAATGCCATTTGGGAGGTTTAAGGGGGCGGGGGGTTGGGGCTTGGTGATTGTATTTCCCTGATTGAAAAATTCCCACACAGACTAAGGGGAGGGGGGCCTTTTCAGATTGAAATTTCACAGGACGGAGACAAAATTACGGAAGAGAAAATCAAATCGCGTCTTTCAAGATGCCCACGTGGGCATGACTGGATGGAAACTCCATCTCCGTTCTTTCTTTCTTTTTGTTGTTGTTAATCCTCACTCGAGGGTATTTTTCCGTTGATTTTTAGAGACCCGAAGGGAGGGCAAGAGACAGAGAAACGTCAGTGCCGGAGAGACAGGGCCGTGCCCGGGACCGGGATCTAACAGGCGGCCTCCCGGTGCCGCTGACCCACGCGGGCCGGGCCCAGGACGTCGCTCCCGTGTCGAGTGGGTGAACGTGTAACGGAGATAATAGTCCCGGAAGGAACTGGTTTATGCCTCAGTGTAAACTCATCGGCCCCTTTTGATGTAAAAGATTTCATTTTCCTGGGAACCCATGTGTGGAAAATGTCCATGAAAAGTTATAATAGGGGACTGTTATTTTTCTGAAAGAATTAAAGGGTTATTATAATCTGTTAAATCTTAGAAACCAAACACTTTAAACAAATACCACTGAATCTGGCACAATACGGAGGCTTGGGGGCCGATCGCCCAGGCAGTTGCAAACTCCCACAACAGCTTACATTTCGGGATCCCCAATGAAGGATCAACCACATGTATAGGAATCTTTCCCCTCCATTTCCTGACTACGCCTTCTTTGAGGCGTCTGTCTTGTATCCACCAGTGGGAACCGTCGACTGCAGCAGTCTCTCTCCCTGCTCTCTCCCTGGACAGGCGTGAACATGCAAATAGAACAGAACAAAACGTCGCCTGCGAAACGGATCCCAGGGGGATGTTTGTTTCTTCCTAAAACGCGTGTCCCGACTGGGACACGGCAGACATCGCATTCCCGACCGGCCTTCGAGCTTCCCCATGAGCAAGACGCTCTCGTTCTAGGGAAAATGCGAAGGCAGCTGTCCTGTGGGGGATGGAACCCTCTCTTTACAAGAGCGAAAATGTCAGCCCGCAGCTCTGACTCCTGGTCGAGGACAAGGCCCTTCTGCCACCTGATGACATTCAGACACGCGCTTGGTCACCTTGCAAAACACCCCCAGGCCGTGGGTAAAAAAACACACAACACCACCGTCAGGAACAAATAGAGGTTAAACACAGATAAATCAAGGTCAGGAGGCGCACTGCCCGCCTGGTCCGAGAGAAAGTAAGTGAATTCGGGGATGTCTGGAGCGTTCGCTATTCAACCGAACGGCTGCACAGCCGCTGGGTACGAGGAAAACTGCTCGGGATTCACGGGGAAGGGGGGGGGGGCGCGTCCACAGCATCGAGTCACAGAGGCAGCTGCTGGGAGCACAGAGCCTCCTGGCAAAGGCCCTCGCAGCTCAGTGGTGAGCGCCGACCTAGGAACCAGGAGGTCGAGGCTCGATCCCCAGTCAGGGTGTGCAGGAGGCTGCTGGTCCCAGTCCAGGGGAAGCACAGCCCCCCTCCACCCCCCACCCCAGGGCTCTCAGCTCTAACACAAAGGGGCTCCCTGGGGCCATGCTGGTTGGGCAACAATCCCGCTAGGGACGGATGACAATGAATGAGCCGTGGTAACGCCCAAGGACCCAGTCCAGAGCGCCGACCCAGAGCGCCCTGACCGGGGCCAGGGATGGAGCCTGCCACCGAGGTCCGTGCCCTTGACCGAATCGAACTCGGGACCCTCCAGTCCGCAGGCCGACGCTCTATCCACTGAGCCAAACCAGCCAGGGCGTAACTTTTCCCATTTTAAAGTTCATTAACAATTGGTGGCCCTTGCTGCCACATGAGGATACAATGAAAAATCTGCGACCCAGAAGAGGGCCTTCCTCCAACCATGGCAGCACCATGATCTCAGACTCCCAGCATCCAGACCTGTGAGAGATAGATTTCTCATACATTTTGTAAGGTAATGATTGAATTAAGTACAGTGACATTTTAGGTAAACAATTACCAGTCTTAGAAAGAATGGTAATTTTGTATAAGAAAAGCTGGTCCAGTTTATAACTATCTATATATACCCATCACATATCTGTATAGCAATTAAGTTGTTCTCCATTTAAAATATTCTCTGAAAAAAAGGGTGAAGGGATTAGCCAAAGAACATATATGCATAATCCACAGACATGGACAACAGTGTGTGGTGAAGGCCAGAGGGAAAGGGGGGCAGGAGCTGGGTGGAGGTGGGCAAAGGGGTAGGGGGGAATGGGGATATCTGTAACAGTGTCAACAATAAAAATAAAGTTTAAAAAGGGTTCTTAGTGTTTAAGAATAAATGTTGAACAGTTCATGTTTGACTTTAATATCTATAGTTGCCAAATAGTATATTCTGTAAGAAAAGTGAAGGAGTACAACTGCCCTAAGTATTAATCAATAAATCAGGAGGCTAGTGTTGAAAATATGGTACGGAGTCAGAATGCCGGGGCTTAAAAACTGACTTCACCACCTTCGGCAGATTCCTCAACCTCAAAGGCTGCTGTGAAATGAATATCAAATACTTAAAACAGTCCCTGGCACATTTTAACAAGATATTTAACAAATAATGAGTGATGATTGTTTTGTATGTCCAAACAATATATATTGGGGGTTTTTGCTGTCTTTTTCTACTTTATCTTCTCACAATTCCTCTATTTAAAAAAACTAAAACCAAATTTAGTGTTTAGCTCTTACAAATATACTTTAAGATCCTTTATTAAATACGTAATTTTGTTAATTCTCAAGGCAGGGGGCAATAACTGTAAAAATCTTGTCCTCTTCTCTGCTGAGTTCTATAATAGCATCCTTATATTTACCTTCCAATATATAATGGAATAAATAACTTCAAAAGTATGTTTTACACTTGTCACCAATGTAAGTATGAATATTACCATATGGTCATAGCCAAGGACTACTAGCCAATTTCTTAATTAATTTCTATTTGTACTTGTGTTGAGGTTAGTAATTTATTTTATATAGTGAAGATGGGCTCCATCCCCAGTGGGGGGCGTGCAGGGGGCAGCCGATCCGTGATTCTCTCTCATCGTGGATGTTCCTCTCTCTCTCCCCCTCTCCCTGAAATCAATAAAAACATAGTTTTTAATAAAACGATAGAAAATGATGCCGTGGACAAGACTGGTGTCAGGATGGCAAAACATTGCTGTTGACCTCTGGCCTTTGACCTCACTAATGCCGTAACGACACGGTTCACACACATTTCAGATATGGGTTTAGAATAGCACCTACCCGGGCGGCTGGGGGGCCCATGGGGCAAAGGGGGCCTACGTGACACTTTCCACAATAAAAAACGATAGAAAATGATGCCGTGGACAAGACTGGTGTCAGGATGGCAAAACATTGCTGTTGACCTCTGGCCTTTGACCTCACTAATGCCGTAACGACACGGTTCACACACATTTCAGATATGGGTTTAGAATAGCACCTACCCGGGCGGCTGGGGGGCCCATGGGGCAAAGGGGGCCTACGTGACACTTTCCACAATAAAGAATGATCTTTAAAACAAGCAAAGATCAATACAATACAAGCGCACCTACCCAGGGCCACCCTGGCGGCGGAGGCGTCGTAATTGATCCAGAAGGACACCCAGGAGAGGATGGTGATGAGGATGGAGGGCATGTAGGTCTGCAGGATGAAGTACCCGATGTTCCTCTTCAGCCGGAAGCTCAGGGAGAGCCGCGGGTAGGCGCCTGCAGAACAGACGGGGTCAGGCGGGCGGGCGCGGGGCGCCCAGAGCTGGCTCTACATCTGTGATCGACGGGTCGCATGCCTTTGAGAAGCCCGGGAACCCAGGGGTGGCCCCCAGCCACTCCATGTGCTCCTGTCTGCCCGACGGAGCTGGTGGAAGAATGGGGGGAGGGCCCCCGCTTCTCAGGCCTCTCCCCTTCCTCCCTGCCCCCAAGGACATGTGTGGTGTCTGGGCTGCCCACAGGGAGCTGCTTATGTTACCAAACATGGGTCTGCCCGGCCGGCGTGGCTCGGTGGTTGAGCGCCGACCTATGAACCAGGAGTTCAGGAGTGTCAGCCTGTGGACTGAGGGTCCTGGGTTCGATTCCGGTCAAGGGCCCCGGTCAGGGCTCGTGCAGGAGGTAACCAATCGATGTGTCTTTCTCACATCGATGTTCCTCTCTCTCTCCCTCCCTCCCTCTCCCTTCCACTCTCTGGAGAAATCCATGGAAAAATATCCTCGGGTGAGGATTGAAAAGTAAACATATAAAGAAATAAACAAGGAGACCAGTGTCCGCGGGGAGAGTGGGCGAGGACGCACCTGTGGCGAAGACCACGTTCCGGGAGACCAGCCGGTGCTCCACGATGGAGAACTGCGGCAGCTCGATCCTCTCCACGCCGGTCACCGCGTTGTCGCCTCCGCGCCAGTAGAACTCAATGTCGTCCGTGGTGTAGCCGTCTGCAGGGACAGAGGAGCAGGGACAGGGCGGGAATGAAGCATCGTCGTATCTACGCTCCACATTCCAGAAGCTGTCACCGGCCCGGCCGGCGTGCTCAGTGGCTGAGCATCAAACTATGAACCAGGAGGTCATGGGTCAATTACCGGTCAGGGCACAGGCCCGGGTTGCTGGCTCCATCCCCAGTGGGGGGCGTGCGGGAGGCGGCAGATCCGTGATTCTCTCTCATCATGGATGTTTCTCTCTCTCTCTCTCTCTCTCTCTCTCTCCCTCTCCCTTCCTCTCTGAAATCAATAAAAATATATTGTGCCCTGACCTGGAATTGAACCGTGACCTCCTGGTTCACAGGTCGAGGCTCAACCACTGAGACATGCCAGCCGGGCCCATTGCAAGATTTTGATAAAATCACCAGCCATCAGAAGCCCATAGCGTGAGTCTAATTGTCAGAATGATGCTGTGGGTGACAGGAAGTAGTGAGTTTCAAAAGGATAACCAGAGAGGCAGGTACAACACAGGTGCTGTGTGCTCATCCTTAGCCTCCCACCTCTTATGTGTTACATTCCTCCTACAAATAATAGGAAGACTCGGGCAACGACGTTAGCATGAGATGTTAACATGTACAAGTTAGACAATCTTAGCGAATAACGAAAAGAATTGGAACAAGTCGCTTGTTACACCAGCTTTTCACTGAGATGGGTGTGCTTTTGGGTGAGTAGAAGTTTTATGTGTGTATTTTTTTTCCACGTGGCCCCATCCCCCTGGGACCTTGGGTAGCCTCTGTTTCCTGGGCGAGAATGAAAAGGAGACGGGACTCCATGCAAGAGGCCCAGAGGGGCCTGTGCTGTCCCTGGAGGGCTGGGGAGGGGAGGGTGGTGAGGTGGGGGTGCTGACTAGGGAGCAGAACGCCCTTGGGCAAGTGGGGCGCACACACCATCACCCCACACTCCCGTGAGGAGCCGCTGTGGCCCGTGGTTCAGGTGAGGCCGCTGCAGCCCAGAGAGGGTGAGCGACTTCCTCCAGGGCACACAGCAGTCAAGGGCGAAGCTGAAAATGGTCCCTTTCCCTGCGGCCTCTGGGTAAGCGGCCCCTCACCCTGCGGCCATTTGCTCTGAGGGGCTTCACTCTTCCACCTCCCCCTGCCCTGCCCCCAGCGGGCTGGGGCTCTGTCCTGCCCCAGCGACCTCTCTTTGTCCTGGGTCCCTCCCAGCCGGCAACCTGGGCGGCATCCCGCTGCCTGGGGGCGAGGGCCTTGTGTGGCTAACGCCCGCCTCCGCACCTCCCCTCTCCGCCCTTTGTGGCTGGTTACAAAGGACCATTATTTTTCCTGGGTCTGGCCTTTGCCAGCCGCCTCCCCTGGCAGATTTTGTTTTACCTCGAAAAGAAAATTGATTCGGGGTCTGCAAACCGGCCGACTTCCTGCCTTCGCTCTGCCCGTGCGGCCGGGTCCACGTCCCTGATGCCGCCCCACCTCCGTGGCCTCATCTCTCACCCCC